CCAACTCCAAATTCAGAGACAATGCAACTGACTTGGTCTGTGCAGCCAGAAAATACCACTGAAGAAGCTGGCCCTGCAGAGCCTCAGACACCAAGCCAGGTGTCTCCAGGGTCTGTTTCTCCCTCTGCTTCTTTGCTGGGCCGAAGCTTCACTGCCGACAAGGGCTCATGCTAGTTCCATCTACATCCAGCGAATTCCACTGTTGGCAGCTGGTGACACCAAACGTCTTGAAGGAGCTGCTTGACAAAGCTCACAGTGCTAGGACAACTGACCCATCACTGCCCCTGGTGGAAACTGCTGCACAACTCTGTATCTTTGACATGTCTAATGTTTGAATCCCTTGCTGTTAAGGGTCTCTCACTGAAGGCTAGAATTGGAATAATGTAACAATCCTTATGAAAGCTGATGATAATAAGAAAATAACTTATGGTGATTCCCTGGGAGAATTAGCTATGCAAGAAATTGAGTCTTCTATAAAATTTATTGCTTAAAGTGGTATTAGTAAGCATGAGATAATAATTTGGAAAAAATCATTAAAGAAGAAAAACTTAGGGAAATTTTAGAAGCTGACAAACTATAACTGAATCATTAGATTTTTGTGTTCTGCCAGAGAAACACAGAACTAGCATTGACAAGAAAAAGATTTTGATTATAAAATTAATGACAGGCCTTGGTAAAGCAAGCAGTTTTAGGAACCTTGATGCTCTTCTACTCTTTGCAGGATTGTAATAAAGATAGAGACCATATTGAGACAAGAGCTTATGACAGAGACACAAAAGAAAAACATGTTGGCTCAGTGAACTTCCTGAGCAGACTTGCAGATCTCTGACTGTAGGAGGAACAAAGAGAAGAGGTCAGCATTTCAGAGGTCAAGGGAAAGAATGGTGGACTTATATCAGATACAAAAGAAAGAATTTAAACAAGGGACTGAGGAATTAGATTTCCATAGATCAAATATTTATTATAGTAGATTAATAGACTAATACAGGAGAAGCTTAGTATAACAGTAGGAGGAAATGACTCTTGATCTATTAACTTAGTCAAACTTTGAAATAGAGATATCCTGTCTCCTATTTCTGTAACTGCAAGGCTTTATGACACCAATTTTAAGGAAAAAGATACTGAGCTAAAAGAATTGATTTTATCATAATATTAGATTTTAATTCTCATGAAATTTGCTGTTTGCTCGTTTTGTTTTTTTTACTTTGATATGTTTATGTAATCAAGGAAGACTTTAGAAGTATATACTATGAAAAGACTGTAATGAATGATTAAAGTCTATGAGGAAATGATTTTGTGTATAAATAAAGCTTGTGAGAGATACAGATTGTCAGAGTAGGTCAAGTGATACCGAGATGAGCTTCCTCTCTGTCCATCTCCTGTAAAATGAAGCTAAGAAGTGTCCTGTGTATGATGCTACTCTTGCATCCACCCACTTCAGACCCTGCCATCCGGAGCTGGAGTCTGGCAGGCAACTTCAATAGAAACTCAGTCTATCAAATGGAAACAGCCACGTACTATAGGCAAACAGAAGAGGATTGAGAAAAAAGGTGAGCTGACTCTGCCTTGTGGGGTTTTGTGTATACATACCTGTCAGACAATGTTAGCAAATATAGTAGCATGTGTGTGATCTGTTCAGATGCAAAAGTCATTGAATACAATTGACTGTCTACCTACTCTGGACCAAACCTTCTGTCAGGACTGTCTACCTACTCTGGACCAAGCCTTCTGTCAGGACTGTCTCTACCTACTCTGGATTAAGTCTTTGTCAGGTCTGCATCCACACAGCCCATGCTTTGGAAAGAAAAGATCTTTGTTTTAAAAATGAAGGCAATGCCACATGCAAGTTGCCTTAACAGGTCACAGTTGCAGCAAATAGGGGGAACATGGTCAATTCCTTTATTTTAATGTTTGGCAAGTTTCATAGAGGAAAATACCCTGGAACTAACAAGGAGAAAAAAGTTCTAGGCTGAGGAAACTGAATTTACAGAGTCCCAAAGGGATAAAAGAACCCAGAATAACCTCATTCTTAGGTCAGAACTGGAGTTACATAGGACATGAAGGCAAGTGAGGCTGGGGATATGAAACCAGAGAGGCAGGCAGGTTTCAGATTCTGAAAGGCTTATTCATTATCCCAAGAGTTTGGGGGTTTGTCTTGTAGGTGACAGAGAACCAATGAAGGAAGATAAACAATAAAACATAAATAAATAAATAAGACTGAAGTTTGTTTTTTATAACTAGTCTAACTCAATATTTTGGTTTTGTTTTTTTGAGACAAGGTTGTTATGGGATAGCTGTACAGTGTGAAAATATATTGCTGTGATCGGTGTAATAAAAAGCTGGACGACCAACAGGGAAGAGGTATGGGCAGAACTTCTGAACACAGAGAAAGGAAGTAGGAGGAGGCAATCAAGGCACAGTGAGACATCAACAAGACATGGAGGGAGTCAGACATACAGAATGAAAGAAAGGTAAAAAGTCACGAGGCAAAATGTAGACTAATATAAATGTGTTAGTTTAAGTTTTAAGAGCGAGTGGGGCAAGCCTGAGCTAAGGCTAAATTTTCATAATTAATAAGAAATCTCCATGTTGTAATTTGTGAGCTGCAGTCCAAAAACAAGGTCCTCCTATCTAGTTCTGGCTGGCCTGGAACTTGAAATACTGATCACACTCACAGAGATCCACCTGTCTCCGCCTCTGCCGTGCATCGCCATGCCAGTTCAATCTAGCTCAATGCAGAGGACAGATCAGGTGGCTGTTGGGAGAAAGCAGTGAGCCCAGGAAGAAAACAATCCAACTCTGAATTAAGGCAGTCGCTGAGAGAATGAAGAACACAAGTTAGAACTTGGCAGAAAGTAAAATCAAAAAAGAAGGAGCCATCAAGGAAGCGCCCAGATTTGTGGCTAAGGCCGGTAAGTGCTAGTGAAGCTTCTAGTACAATCAGAGGAATATAAGCTCTGAAACAAACACAGTTCAGGCTGTGGAGGTTTGCTAGGATGATGGCAACAGTCTGCTGCCCTTTGCCATGTTTACATTTGGGAAATAGCATTTAGGCGGCAGCAGCAGATTTCCTGGGAGGGGCTCCCAGGAGGGCCAGGAATGGAGAGCTGTTGAGACATGAATTTTTTTTTTCTTTCCCTTCTGTGTACCTGCTATGATGTTTGGATAAAACAGCAGGCTATAAACAGGAAAGCCTGTAATCAGTGTAGAGTTCAAGCAGGAAGCCCAAAGTGGGGAAAGCAGCCTTGGCAGATGGCCAACCATGGTTGGCACAGTTCCTGGGGTCTCAGAAGTTGCTTGGGAGCTCACTGAGTCAAGCCTAGCTCCAAGCTTTTTCTGTTGTGCATTTGTTCTGAAGGACTTCTGAGAGGAATTCATAATAGGATTTCCACATTTGGGGTTTGGGAACCTTCCTTTCTTGTGCCCAGCACTTCAGTTTACAAAATGATTACACTTATGGTAACTTTTTTTTTCACCAAAACATGTAGCATTCTTCCCAATCTACGCATTTTCAAACAATACTTGGTAGCCATAAGTGGATTTTTTTCCAGAAGTGCATAGCTAGAAAGTGCCAAAACCACTGACCTAAATTAGATATTTTATGTTGGCGAAACAATAGGGAAGTGGGTGTCTTACTCTGGGTGAGAATACAAATTGAGCTAGCTTTTCATAACACACTGTCAGTATTTTTTAAATGTGGTTGGCCTTTCATCTGGTAGTTCTTATTCTGGGTCCCTGTGGTAGCCCTATGCTCATCCTAAAAAGCAAAGCTTGAAGTGAATCCAACATTAAAATGTGACCCCAGTGGCCTTAGGGAAGAGTGAAAAGGACACATCACCAAACTGCCCCCATTTTGTGCAAAGCGGATCTGATCCTCCTAGAACCCTCTAAGGAACACAGTGAATTCTGAAAGACAGAGTAGGGAATGTATTCATAGGCTCTCACCTACATTACTTTTTCCACAGATGGTTAACTCATTCTTTGTGGCTTACCAAATGTGTTCCCAGAAGTATCCCAAAATGTATTCACACATCGGTTATGTAGTTAAAAATAAGGTTAGAGGTAACCTGGGACTGATGCTGGTGTTGTCATTGGAACACAGATCTCTGAAAAGTCCAATTTTCAGAATCTAGAAGCTATAGCTCTATGGAATTAACAAGAACAGGATCCAGACCCCTTAGAGGTTCGAAGGGAACCTATAAATAAATTAACCTACCAATTATTTAAAATTATCAAAATTAACCTAACATATCAATAAATTAACGAGGTGTTTTGATTCTCTGCCATAGGAGACTTTCCCTGTTCCATAGCACAATAACCTCATAATGCCAGATATTCTATTGGGCAGGGCGACAGAGAACAACAGAGAAGGCTCTCTGTGCCCAGCGTCAAGCCCGAAGAGAGCAAAAAACAAATGATTATCAAAACTCCAGTTCTTCTCAACTGTTCTAGTTATAGGCTGCGTCTGAGAATCCGCCGTAGAGTGAAATTCCTGGGCGCCACCTAGAAATTCCAATTTGTAGCTATATAATAATCTACCTAAATAAACCTAGAATTCCAATTTTAAATACCTTGAGCAATTTTTCTGTAGGTGATCCAGAAGCACACTTGAAAAGCACTAGCACTGGCCCTGAACCTAGACCCTGAGCCCCGAGAGGGGAAAACATGTGTCTCTCCCTGGTTCCCTATTCAATACTGGACACATCTAGGTACCTGGGAATTGTTTAGAACCAATTCTCTAAAAAAAAAAAAAAAAATTTAAAAAAGGGGTTTCAAATGGGGGTCAGCTCAAATAAATCTGTAGCCTCTGCATCATTAGGCTATGGGACTCTATGGCAGTAGTCTAGAAAAGGAGATTCAAACTCACTAAAAGCTACATGATAATCTATGAAGCCAAAGAAACCCGTCTATGAAACCAATCTCGTGCCAGGGTGTTTGCCTGCCAAGAGGAGTAAAGGGCCTTTGAGCACTCTAGCTCAGGCAGCCCGGAAGAATCATACCTGCTCTGTCGTTTGGTCTCTGGATAAAATTCTTCCCTACCTTAAACAAACAAAAAAAAGAGTAAATGTAATTTAATAAATTTTAGACTTAAACTATTAACGTGGCATAATTTATGGAATAATACGGATCAAATACTGTATAACTGAAAACCATATATAAAGCAAGTTACCATCATCTTGGAGAATAGGCTCAAGACGTTTCATATGGGGGCAAATGTGTACAAGCTCCGGAGACAAACACAAGAGAAAACGGGAAGCAAATCACTGTGCTTCCCTAAGAGCAGGTTTTCTGCTCTCTAAAACAGAAATAATGCTAGTATCTACCTTTGAAGTTTCGTGAGAATTGAGGCGGTGTATGTTTTCCATTTCCTCTATTCCCATTCTCAATATTAATAGATTGGTTCCTTTTCTGCTCCCATCATGGGCTCTAAAGTCAGACTTTTTTTTCATTTATGTATTTATTATGTATACGGTGTTCTGTCTGCATGTATGCCTGCAGGCCAGGAGAGGGCACCAGATCTCAATACAGATGGTTGTGAGCTACCATGTGGATTCTGGAACTTGAACTCAGGACCTCTGGAAGAATAGCCAGTGTTCTTAACCTCTGAGCCATTTCTTCAAGCCCTAATGTCAGACACTGAATACACTAGGACAAGCACATGGTGGCAGGCAGCATGGGCCTGTGAAAACGCTCTGGGACACAAGTCACTTTACGCATCCACGCCTTGATGTATACAGGAGAATACAGTTGGTTCACTGACCTCCTGTCAACTATTGATACTAGCCGTTCCCAGCACGTAGACCTATCGCTAACCCCTTAAACTTAGAAATGAATGGTACGTCCAAAGCGCGGATCTTAACAAAGAAGTTTGACAAGAGATAATGTGGATGTTTCCAGAGGTCCGTGGCAAGAGCGTCGGAAGAATAAATGTGCTGCTGTAACTCTGTTTTCCAGTTAGGATGGAATATCAGCCTGAACGATGGAGTAGGAAGGGGCCGATGTGAGAAGACGAAACGGTAGCCTTACTTTTCGGAAGATGCAAAGAGCACTGAGCCTGTTTAGACTTTGACCAGGCCACAGCGTCTCGAGGAGGGCCGGCCAAAACGCCGGGAAATGGGCCCAAACCCGAGAAGCGCACGCGCACTGAAGTCGCAAAGCCCCTCTGGGTCGGCTACCTTACGTCAACGTCTACGTGGAAGACGTAAGGAACGAGGGGTGGGAGACGCCGGACTGAGTCACGTGACATGTGCTCCGGGCGTTGGCTCCTCCCTCCCGAAGATGGCGTCCCTGCTGCAGTCGGAGCGGGTTCTCTATCTCGTCCAAGGAGAAAAGAAGGTTCGGGCCCCGCTCTCGCAGCTCTACTTCTGCCGCTACTGCAGCGAGCTGCGATCGCTAGAATGTGTGTCGCACGAGGTAACTGGGCCATTCCGCGGGGACTGCGCGCCGGGGCGGGGGTGCTCTTCCCTGTCACTGCGGCTGGCGGGAAGTTCCGCCGGGAGAGGCGGGGGAATCTTGTATCTAGCTTTCCGATTGGCTAAGTGCCCCATCATTCATCTAAGTTTGCGATTTCATTTGCTTGTAAATTGTCACTTAGGAAAGGGGCGGTCCCGGGTGGGGCTGAGCAGAGCCTCTTGTTCTAGAACTGCCTGTAGCTGGACCGGTTTGCCCCGGACTCTGGGGTCCACTATGGGACTTGAGAATTGAGACCCGAGAGATTGGTCGGGGGCTGTCTAGCACAAGCCTCTGAAAAGCAGAGAAAACTTTTCTCATCGTTAGTGGAAGGAGGGCAGCCGTTCTCGCTCGTGGCCCTCCCTTCATGGAAGGCCTGACCCTCCGTTAACCAGAACCGGGTCCTGTCCAAACAACTGACCCGGTTTCCTGAGCCAGGCCAACGACTGAAGCGAGAAGGCTGGGATAGGTTGACTTGAGTAGAAAACGCATAGGGTAGTCTGTGGTCAAAGCAGCTCAGAGTTCTCTTCCCGGGCCCAGATGGTCATTGAAATAGAATTGTTCAGTTTGAAAATTAAAAGGCACCTAATAAACCATCCCAAACCTTTTGCAGCTTTTGACAAAAGTTGTTTATCTACTGCACTGCTGTTGGGAATCTCACAGTCTGGTGGAAAAACCCACAGAAATGATGGCAGCTTTATTCTGTATTTAGCTGTGTGGCAAAGGCTTTGCATAATCTTTCCAGATAATGAAGGCGGAGGCTTGGGTTTGGGAGGTTTTGGATAGGGTGGGGAGTTGTTGAGTCAGGGTCTCATGTAGCCCAAGCTCGCCTCAAGCTTACTGTGTAGCCAGTGCTGGCCTTTTAACTCCTGATTCTCCTGCGTTCACCTCCCAAGTACCAGGATTATAAATGTAATCCACGATGCCCAACTATTGAAGGTGCTTGTTGTTGGAAAAAGGAAAAAAAAAAAAAAGAAGCCGTATTGCGGTGACCCAGGCTTATAATCCTAACACTCAGAAGGCTGAAGCAAGAGGAACACTGTAAATTCAAAGCAAGCATGGGCTGCATGGTAATTTCTAGGACAGTCGGCTACAGTGTGACTTCTCACGAGCTTTCTCAAGGCTCACACCCCTCCCCCAAATGTACAGGTTAAGAAGCAATCACAGAATGTTTTCCGTAGGTCACAGAGTCACTTAGAGGTGGGAAGGATGATCTGTATCAGAGACTAAATCCTGGGAAAAAATACTTGTGAAAACATGTCCTGTAGTGTGATTCTTATCTTATTGGGGATACTTTTCAGAATATTAAGAATGGTTAAGACAAAGAATATAAGAAATCCAGTCCTAGTTATACATACTTACATATTTATGCCATGTATGCGATTTTTCTTCAAGTTTGCATTAACACTTTGTGTGATAGCTAGAATTGTGTAATTATCAAATCAAATCTACTTATTATATAAAGTACTTTTTATTTATTTATTTAGTTTTTCAAGAAAGGGATTGTCTGTGTAGCTTTGAAGCCTATCCTGGAACTTGCTCTGTAGCCCAGGTTGGCCTCGAACTCCCAGAGATCCACCTATCTCTGACTCCCAAGTGCTGGGATTAAAGGCATGCGCCACCACCCAGCATAAAGTGCTTTTTTATGAGATCTTTTTTAAAGAAGCAGATCTAATATTTAGACTGTGTTTTGAGTAAAATACAGTAAGGTTATTGTGTTGTTCAGTTTGTTATTGAAAAAGTTTGTGTCTGGGGAACTGAAGAGGTGGCTCAGCAAGTAAAGGCTGAGTTGGATTCAGAGCCTATGTGGTGGAAAGACAGAACCCTTTCCTGGGAGCTATGCACACACACACCGTGAGTTGAGCTATGTTGCCTACCTGCAGGCCACCTCCCTCCTCACATGGGCACAAAACAAATGTAAGATAAATAAATGAAAATCTCTCTTTTGGAGACTGAGGTCATGAGTTCAATCCCAGAATCCCAGAACACACATACATAAAGCTAAGCACTGTGACACATAATCCAGGCCAGCCAGCTTTATCTACTTGGTAAACCCCAGGCCAATGATAGACCCTTTCTTGTAAAAGAAAAAAGCGGGGAAATGGCCAGGGGACAGGGCTTGAAGTTGTAGCACCTGAGAGTGTCCTCTGATCTCCACATGCATGCACATACAAAAAAAAAAAAAATAAGAAACAAGTCTGTAATTGGCTGGCTATCACTATGTAAATTTTTATATATCCTTAGTAAATATATCACTAATGAGAAAACAATGTTTTTAAGGGTTATCTTACTTTTTGTTTGTTTTGTTTTGTTGGTTTTGGTTTTGGTTCTTTGAGAAGGGTTTCTCTGTATCTTTCGAGCCTGTCCTGGAACTAGCTAGCTCTCGTAAACCAGGCTGGCCTCAAACTCACAGAGATCCACCTGCCTCTGCCTCCCCAGTGCCGGGATTAAAGGCGTGTGCCACCACCGCCCAGCTAAGAGTTATCTTACTTTTTTTAGAAAATGTAATGTTGAATGTTTTGCCTGCATGTATGTCTGTGCACCATGTACATTCCTGCTACCTGTGGAGGTCAGAAGAAGACTAAGGGTGAGCCACCATGTGGGTGCTGAGACTCTAACCCCAGTCCTTTGCAAGAGCAGCAAATGCCCTTCATCACAAGCCACCTCATCAGACCCAACTTAATGTCTCTTAACAAAGGGATTGCTGGGTTATTATAATGAAATCAAGCCAAACTCGATGGGAGGCTGTTAATCACAGCTTTACATTTGCATTATTAATTGATTCATTAAACCATAGAGTTATTCATTTGGGAGCTTTTGCCTATCAGATAGACAAGTCTCAGACAGCTGACACATAAACCTTGGTGATAGGGAACAGAAAATACGAGAAAGGAAAAGGATTAAGAGAGAAAAAATGAAAACCATCAACAGACAGGTAATTGCTTAGTTGAAAACAGTCCAGGTGTTTTTGTCTGTTTTCCCCAGGTCAGTAATTTCTTACCTTCTGGTGAGGTGCAGCAGATTTTAATAATGAATTTCTTTTTCTCTGATATCTTTATTTCTTCATAGGTGGACTCACATTATTGTCCCAGCTGCTTAGAAAACATGCCATCAGCTGAAGCCAAATTAAAAAAGAATAGGTAAGAACTGAACAGAACTTTCTGTTCCCATTTGTTATTGGTTTTGTGGGCACTGAGGCCAAAATAGGGTCTTATTTCATAGACCAGACCTCAAATTTTGTTTTTTTGAGACAGGCTTTCTCTGTGTGGCCTGGAGCGCACTCAGTAGACTAGACTGACTTTGAACTCAAAGATCCACCTGCCTCTGCCTCCCGAGTGCTTAAAAGGTGTAGGACACCACTACCTGACTTTAATTTTTCAAGACAGGATTTCTCTGTAGCTTTGGGGCTTGTCCTGGAACTAGCTCTGTAGACCAGGCCGGCCTCGAACTCACAGAGATCCACCTGCCTCTGCCTCCCAGGTGCTAGGTTTAAAGGTGTATGCCACCACCGCCTGGCTGTACTATTGTTGATGAATAAATATGCTTAAAAAAAATTAGACCTGCTGTGGTGGCACATGCCTTTAATCCCGGCAGTCAAGAGGCAGGTGGATCTCTGTGAGTTCGAGGCCAGCCTAATCTACAGAGCAAGTTCCAGTACAGCCAGGGCTACACAGAGAAACCCTGTTTGGAAAAACAAACAATGAAAAGACTAAGGGCTGGAGAGTTGATTCAGAGGTTAGGAACAGTTACTGTTGAGCAGTTTCTTACCAGTATAGTGCTATAAGGTATTTTGGTGTGTATATTTTCTGCCTCTAAGAATTTGTTATTTCTTGAAGAAGCTTGGTTCTTTTTACTGGAGGATATTAAGAACTAAAACCCAGCACAACATGGTGACACATGCCTTTTTTTTTCCGGCTCATGCCTTTAATGCCAGCACATGGGAAGCAGAGGCAAGTGGATTTCTGTGAATTTGAGGCCAGCCTGGTCTACAGAATGAGTTCCAGGACAGCTAGGGCTACACACACACACACAAAAACAAAACAAAACAAAAACAAAACAAAACAAAAAACTGGCTGCTAGATATGTTCTTTGCTCCTAGCTACTGCTGCGTTTTTAGTTGTGAAAATTCTTGTTTCCAGCCTTATTCCTGTTCATTTGTGGTTGGGAGCCACTAGTATTTGTCTTTCCTGCTTCAGGAAGTAGCTCCTGAGAATTAGATGCTACCTTGTATGCTTTCTGTACATTCATGTGTCACTTAGCTTTTCAAGTGAATCTGTAAGGTGGGTGGTATTATTTCTCTTATTGAAGACAGCAGTTTATTATTACAGTAGATGGTCAATATTGTGGAAGACTACAGGTGAAATCTTGATATCCTCGGGCTGTGGGAGTACTGAATGCACCGGGTGTGTGTGGTTGCTCACAACTGTAATCCTAGCACTTAGAGCCAGGAGCCAAAGAATCACAAATCTAAGACCAGTCTGAGCTAAATAGACTTTGTTTCAAACAGTCAGCAAAAGACACCAGGGTCTAGCTCTCCCAAGGGAAATGCTACACAATGCATCCTAGGAGATAACAGAAAGCTAGTGCCCCACTCTGACTAGGCCTCTTCCCTGGTGTCTGTTCCCTGCTGGTGCCCCACTCTGACCACGCCCCTCCATGGTGGTGTGTTTCAGATCCCTGGCACAGCGGTCAAACAGTAATTTTCCAAATCCAGTTTCACAGTTGTTTATGTTGTTGAGACTGAATTTTCTGTCACACAGTACTCTGTCCTCTCTAGCAGCATAAACTATGACATATGCCTTTTCCTTAAAAATCTGTGTCCTATATAGGCATTAAAATGTGGAATCTTAGAAAAGTCTACCTAGAAACAGTAATTTTTCTCTGTAGAGGAGGTGGAATTGGGTTCTGATTTGTTACAAGCTTTGCTGATAATTGTTTTGTTTTGTTTTTAAGTGAACATATAGTACTTCTTAAATGCTAAACTTGGTAAAAGTACCAGGAAAAAAAAATATATTTTTCCCCTTGAGAATCTTTGAATTTCTAACATTTGGACCATGGTTTCCTAAACCGTGCATTGTGACCATGTAACTAGATGTGAGCACGTTAAAAAGTTGACAGCGGTGAAAGGTTTCTGAAACAAAATCTAATTCAGAGAGCGGTGAAAGGTTTCTGAAACAAAATCTAATTCAGAGTCAGACGTGTAGTAACTGAGGTGTTTATGGTGGCGCGTGCCCGTGTCCCATTGCACTACCTCATTATAACCTTGGCTCTGAACACAGCCTGTGTGTGGACTTGGCACTCCTGGTGCCACAGTGAGTGCTGCCTAAAACAGTTGAGACTGTTATAGCTGATGAATTGGAGTTTTTTTCAACACATGCAAAGTTCTTTGCTATAATACAAATATATTAGCTTGATCATAGACAGCAAAGGCATTTTTCTACCATCATTCCTCAGCATGTATCAGATTATAGTTCTTTGGATTCTATTGTATAAGAGTGTTTGCTTTTAAAAGTTGATTTGAGTTGCTGACTTAAGCAGTATTATTATTATTATTATTATTATATAGAGTTAGGGAAGAGTAAACAAAAACCAAGTCTAAGGAAACCTGCTACTTTACAGGCTCATATATATACCAAAAAAAATTCATTGAATGCATTTTGGCTTGGGATTGGAACAGAATTTCCAGAAATTTCTGAAATTGCCCTAAACAGACGTCTGTCATTTTATATTATGTATTTAAGTAAAGTATTGGCAATTACAAAATATCAGCTCTGAAAAGCATTGAAGATTCTCCTGCATTATCAACTGTTTAGCAAAGATTTAATTCATTATATAAAAATAAACAAGCACCTTTATTAGCATACAAATTTGCTTTTTTTTTTTAATTGGTTTTTTGAGACAGGGTTTCTCTGTAGCTTTGGAGCCTGCCCTGGAAATCACTCTGTAGACCAGGCTGGCCTTGAACTCACAGAGATCTGCCCTCCTCTGCCTCCTGAGTGCTGGGATTAAGGGCATGCACCACCACCACCCAGCTGCTTCTACCTTTAATAAATGGCAAATTACATGTATAACAATAAATTGTTTTTAAATTTTTCTTGATTTATTAACAGTAAATGTTTTATTTGTATACTTGTTTTACAAAAATATATCCTAGAGATTATGTGAAAAACTTCTCAAAAGTCGAAAAAGTTTAAGAGACCTTGAATGAAACCAGTGTGTAGCACATAGCAGGGGCCTGTAAGTATTAGTTGAATGAATGGTTGTGTTTGCCGTGTCACAGATGTGCCAACTGCTTTGACTGTCCTGGGTGCATGCACACCCTTTCCACCCGGGCCACCAGCATCTCCACACAGCTTCCAGATGACCCAGCCAAAACTACCATGAAGAAAGCCTACTACTTGGCCTGTGGATTTTGTCGATGGACTTCTAGAGACGTGGGCATGGCAGACAAATCTGTAGGTGAGTGTACTTGAACGTGGGGTTTGCTCTGCCATCAGTGCTATAATTCTCCATAGATTATCAGCTCTGTATGTGCTGGACTGTAGAACCTAAGTTGAGGACAGTTGTCAGTAAGTCTTCTGTGCACCCATAGCCTCATATTTATGGATCATAGTTCCTCATCTTGGACTATTACTATTCCGTTTTCTTAGAGTTGGTAAAGTAACTTTTATGAATCTAATACTACAACCAAACTTAATACCATTTATTTTAAAAATATTTATTGAGCTAGGGATATTGTTTATAAAGTCCTGGGTTCAATTCCCAGCACTGCATACACCAGATATTCTAACTTGCATATGTAATTCCAGCATTTCATAGGTAGAGGCAGGAGAATCAAAAATTCAGGGTCATTCTCACCTGCCTATGGAGCTCAAAGCCATCCTGAGCTATGTGAAACCCTACCTCAAAAACAATTTTTTTATCTGAAATTTAAATATCATGGACAAAATTAAAAATGATAAATTTAGAAAAGCAGACTTAGTAATAACAGACTAACCAAATTGAAGAACCCTATAGATCAATTTTTAGGAGAGTCAGAAGGAACACAGAAAAGGATTTGAACGGGTCTCATAGCTGAAGATAAAAGTAATCATCTTCAAAGGCGTTCATTTAGCTACAAATTAGGAAAATGCTATTCCTCAAATATTTTTTTGAATCTAATTGTATCATGTTAGATACAGGCTAATTCTCAAATACTGTCATCTTGGAGAACAGTTTGATTACCCCTGTTTACTTTTATTTTTTGTTTGTGTGTACATGCCTGTTTGGAGGCCCAAGGACAACTCTGGGGAGTTGATGCGCTCCCCAGTGTGGGTTTTGGGGATCAAACTCAGGTCCTTGGGCTTAGTGGCAAGTGCCTTTAATTGCTGAGCCATCCTGCCAGCCTTATTTATTTACTTTTTGAGGCATGTCTCACTCTGGTAGAAAAGGATTAAATCCCCTGAACTGTAGTTACAGATGGTTGTGAGCCACCGTGTGGGTGCTGGAAATGAGACCTGGATGCTCTGGAAGAGTAAGTAGCCAGTGCTCCTAACTGCTGAGCCTTCTCTCCAGCCCCTATTTATCTATATGTTATGCATTTGGGTATTTTGCCTGCATGTGACACATTCATGCAGTGCCCATGAAGGCCAAAAGAGGGCGTTTGATCTTCTAGAAATGGAGTTACAGAACAGACAGTTGCAAGCCTCCACATGGGTGCTAAGAACTGAGCCCAGCTCCTCTGCAAGAGCAACAAATGGTCTCAACTGCTGAACTATCTTTTAGTTTGTATTTTATTTTGTTTTTGTAGCCCAGGCTGATCTTGAAATGTTGATTCTTGGGTCAGCACCAGGCCCCCTGAGTATGCATTAGGGATTCCAGTTTAGTGTTTTTACAGGACTCCCATGTGTATGGACAAATGGATCTCTGATTATTGTGCCTTTTCTTGGGCTCTTTTCCTTCTGCTTATTTATTTTGTCCAATTCTAATGTGTTAGTTTTTGTTTTACCTTATTATACTTTGTTTTTATTATTTAAAAAAATTAAAGAAATGGTAAATCTTGTACCTAAACCTCTACTGATTTGGGATTACAGACCTGAGCCACCACACCTGGCTAGTGTGTATTTTCTTTATTATCTGTCACACATACAGCATCTTCAGCAAAATATCTACAAGTCTTTTGTCCCTTTTTTTAGAGACAGGGTCTCATGCCCAGGCTGGTCTTGAACTCCTGTTCATCTCACCTCCACCTCTTAAGTGCTGGTATTTTAGACACATAACTACCATATTGGGTTCCTTTTGCCCACTTATTGTTCCTTGTGTGTGCAGGTGTGTTTATAGTTTGTTTTCCTGCTGAAGAGACTTTAACCTAATCCAGCTTTGCTAAAATCTACTCTGTATACTTATAGACATGCAAGTTTTTCACCCTCATTATATTTAAAGAAATAATGTTATGTTGGGCTTGATAGCTTAGACCTGTGATACTAGCTACTTGGGAAGCTGAGACAGGAGGATTACAAACTCTCAGTTTTCCTGGGATACAGAACAAGGCCATTTTTGGCAACTAAACAAGATTATGTCTCAAACATTTTAGAAACAAGATTGGTGAGATGACTCGGTGGGTAGAAGCGATTGCTCTACAACTTGACTACCTGAGTGTTTAAAGGGCTTGGAATATAGCTCAGTGTAGAATATGGGCAGAGCCCTGGGTTCAGTCCCTAGTATTGGAAAGAAAGGGAAGGAGAAGGGAGTGGGAAAGAGAAAAGGTGTTTGTGTTGCTCTTCAGTTGTGTTGGTCCGTAAGTGTTCTTTCTTGGAAATTCTGTTTTTAATTTATGTCCTACAGGTGACAATTTTGAAACTAAAAAGATAAAATTACTGTTCAATGTTTATTTTCTAGCGAGTGGCGGTTGGCAAGAACCAGAAAATCCTCACACACAACGGGTAAGTACAAGAACATAGGCCACAGAGGAAGAAACCAGAAAGGCAGTGGGTGTGGCCCATTCCTAGAAGTGCCTATATCTGTGCTGTGGGTCAGTTACTCACAGAGAGGCTTGAAGTCGGTGCCACTTCTTCTCTCTTGACTGAAAACACTTGTAGTCGTGTTTCAGAAGAGGATTGAAATAACTTTTGTTTTCTTCACATGCCCCACAATAACTAATAAAAGTTTCGTTCACTATCAGATACTCTTAGAAATACAAGCACATAGACCTTTCAGTCCTAGAGACGCTAGTAATTTTGAAGGTACCTTTGGACCAGTAATGACTTCCTACAGAAGCATGATAGAGCATTTTTGCAGTGTGTGCTGCAGTTGGCTTTTTAACTACATTAGAACAGTGTGAGGAACTGATGATCGGTTATCAGCATGCACACTATACTGTCCAAGTGAAAACTAAACAGGAATTTACAGTTTTCAACTATAACATCAGCAATGTATAGTGTGTAGTATGGGTTGATACAGGTTTCTGGAATTCTTTGTTGTGTGTACTTCATAGATGCTCACCTACAGAAATGCATGTATATATGAACAAGTACTTGCACATAGCTATATGTGTTCATGTGCGCACGCGCACAATCTTTAGCATGTCTGATAGGAAAGGGAAAATTCTCTCCATGTAAAGTAGAAACTGAAGTAAGTAATGTGAGGGAGAAATTGGGCCTTGTCAACATTTCTTGGAAATTTCAACTAATGAGGTCATCGTGAGCATTGTGCTGCTGTCTGGAGATGCTAGACACAGAGGAGAAAGAGTTGAAGCAGGCGAGAAGCCTGTAGGTGGAGGAAACAAAGCAGATAGTAGCTGAGAGAGTGAAGTGGAGTGTGGTATCGGCAAATGGAGAAGGGTGTTGAGGGTTGACCTTGTAGACCAAGAAGTTTGGGAAGCCTTTAAATGTTTAAAAATAAGGAGATGACAGGATCACCTTAGTGTTTTTTAAAAAAATCGATTGCATGGGCTGGAGAGTTGACCTAGTGGTTGAGAGTACTGGGTGATAAGGTCTTGAGTTCAGTTCCCAGCATCTACATGGTAGCTAATTACACTCTGTAACTCCAGTTCCAGGGTGTCTTAGTTTGGTGTCTGTTGCTGTGATAAAGGCCATAACCAAAAGCAACTTGGGGAGGAAAGGGTTTATTTTATCTTCAAATTCTCAGGCCACACTCTATCACTGAGGGAAGTCAAGGCAGACTTGCCCTATGGCTTGCTCATTTTGCTTTCTTATACACCCCAAGACCACCTGTACAAGGGGGGTACTACCCACAGTACCAGAAAGCTGGATGTGGTAGGCAGAGAAGTATGGAGCACATCCTCTCAACTCTTCCATAGCCCGTGCATCCTCTGGTTGGATGTGAAGATTTCATCCCAGTTCTGAAAACGCTGTAATCAGAGAAAACACTGTGGGTCCTCCCACATCAGTCATTCGTCAAGAAAATGCACTACAGTCTTGCCTACAGGCAATCTGGTGGAGGCAATTCCTCCTTTGACATTTCTCTTCCAAGATAACTCTAACTTGTATCCAGTAGACAAAAATCTATCCCAACCAGGACATAAGGAATCTACCACCCTCTTCTGGCCACCACAGGCACTACACATATGTGATTCATAGACATACACATAGTTAAAACAACCATGGACATAAAGTAAACCTCTTTTTAAAAAGAAATATTTTTGCTGCTGATTAAAAAGGACAAGAACGACACCAGAAGACCATTTATATCCTCTTGTAAGAAATGTTTAAATACCTTTTAGAACATTTGTTCTATGCAATGAGGTCCAGCCTTTGAAAAGAACAAGGTAGGAAGTAGGTGTGTTAGTAATGGACAGAGAGGTAGATCAGATGTATGGGAAGTCCATTATACTTGGAGTGAAAAAGAATAGATATTTTATTCCCTTTTTCATGAAAAATAAAGTACTTTGTGGTTTGGAGCAAGTTCTATATCTGTACATGCATATTTTAAAATGTATCATATACTTCTTCTAAAGTGTGTCAGAAAGACATAACTGGTAATAGTAGGTACCTAATTGAAAGGAAAGGCTACCTTCAATCAAAGGATGAGGCAGAGTAATGTTTTATTCTGTATGTTTGTATGTTTGAAATTTTATACTGCTTTATGATGAAAAAATGAATTAAAAAGTGACAGAAGGCTGGTGTGGTGGTCAGTGACGTGCAGAGTATGTCGTCTGCGGATGTGAGGATTTCATTTCATTGAGGGAAAATTCCCTTTACAGGAAAAGGAGGGAAAAAGTAAAACTTACCCACTTCATAACTTTCCTTGTTTCTTTCCTTGTTTCTTTTCTTGTTTGTTTGTTTGTTTGTTTGTTTGTTGAGACAGAGTCTCTTTGTGAAACAGTTCTGGCTGTCCTAGAACTCGATTTGTGGATCAGCAGACTGGCCTCAAACTCGCAGAGATCCACCTGCCAAGTGCTGGGGTTAAAAGCATGTACCACCACCACCTGGCTCATTTTACTTTTAGTCAATGCAATTGATTGATTTTGTTAGTCTTTTCTTGAGACAAATCGAGTCTTTGATTTCTTACAGATGAATAAGTTGATTGAATATTACCAGCAACTTGCTCAGAAGGAAAAGGTTGAACGAGATCGCAAGAAACTGGCACGACGTAGGAACTACATGCCTATGGCTTTTTCGGTGAGAATTTGGCACAGAAAGATATTTTGCAAGGCCTGAAAGGCGTCAGAATAGTGGCCATTTCAGAAAATGGCCGGTGTCCTAGATTTCTGTAGTTGGTATCAAAAACAGTTTCTCACATACAGATATGTAAGCCCACGGCTGTGCTTTTGTGTGTCATTAATTTTATTTAAATTCCTTGTGTTTTAATAGGGGCATCTATCTTTCATTCTTCATTTTTCCATTTCATGTTTATTTCTACTAAAAGTTACTGCTTAATTTTTTAGGGTATACAAACTGTTGAGTGCTTTTGCGTATTACAGAAAGATAGAAAAGACAGTAGTGGGGTGGTAGATTTTATTTTGCCTACCATAGCAATATTCCTCTGGCACCCTGATTTCCCAGTTCTAGTCCCTTACTACTTACCACACCATCCTCAATTGTTTTGTTTTGTTTTGTTTTTTGTTTTTCATGACAGGGTTTCTCTGTAGCTTTTTGGAGCCTGTCCTGGAACTCGCTCTTTAGACCAGACTGGTCTCTGCCTCCCAGGTGTTGGGATTAAAGGTGTGCACCACCACCGCCTGGCCCCATCCTCATTTTTTTCAAGATGGAAATCACTGACACATGCACAGTATTTGTGGTGGTGGCGGTCGTGGCACTGTTGCTGGGGGTTGAACTTAGGACCTGGCCTCTGTAGGCAGGCACTCTCTCTCTGACTACATCCTGAGCCTTACACAGTGTGTTTGTGTGGTTCAATAAGCAGAGCCGCGCACAAGTGGAGTTGTTGGTAGATATGGTTTATGGATGTCATTTTGTGCTGTTTATAATTACCAAACAGAAACAAGGATTGGGATTCTGAGGGGTTTTTTGTTCTCTCCCCAGTTTCATTTGTTCACATAGAACAGTTTCTTTTCCTTGTACCTGCTTGAGCCCTAGCATGTTGACAGTGGATAAATAACATGATGTGACATGTCAAGCACTGTGCTAAATAAATAATGTATATCATTTTATTTAATTGCCACAACAGTTCTGTAAGGTTGATAGTATTCCCCTGTTGTACACTTGAAGAAATGAGATCTGGAAGTTTAAATAACTTGTCATACTGCATCTACTGAACAATTAATTAAGCCACTAATGACATAATGACTGGTAGGATTCATATAGAAATATATAGATTTGAGTTTAGTTAAACATTAACTAAAGCTCCTACACTTAACCAAAGTACATGAATGTTCCCAAATTCTCCAGTGGCCTGATCAGCATATCCACGCCTACATATTAGGACAGGACTTGGAACTAAATGCTCTATCCTTCCAACCTTCCCATATACCTGCCGGCTGTATGCATTTGCTTTTATCTTATGCTTCATTTTTTTTTTGTCTCTGTTGTAACCTGCTGCTATTTGGGGGCTCTACAGCAACACACTATTCATGTAGTGGTAAGTTCTCTTTTATGATTCTTGCTAACCCTGAAGAAGTTAGCAGATGGTCATTATGTGTCTTAGATGCTTCACATAGTTCTTGCCTGAGCCATAGCTTGGACGTTCTTAGACTAGTGTTAAAAGCTTTTGTGTGGTCCACTTTTACTGTCCTACTGTAGTTTTGGTCTCTGTGTTGCTTGTTCTAGGAATAGACTAGTAATGTGGGTTACAAATAAAGTAGATTTTGAGTAGCTTTTTGGTCTTATTACCTTTGGTTTTATTTTAGTTTTTGCTTATTCCCCGAAGCTTCTCATGCTGTCCTCCCGTTTCTTGCCTTCAGTGAACAGGATGTATCAACTGGCCTTTCTAATAAGAATTTCTGAACTTTGTTTAGGACAAGTACAGTCTTGGAACCAGGCTTCAGCGACCACGAGCTGGTGCCTCCATTAGTACACTTGCTGGACTTTCGTAAGTTTGGACATTAAGTAACTGAGAACAGCAGATAACAGAACGCATGTTTAAAGGGGTATCGAGTTTTTTTTTTTTTAAACTACCAATAGGAAAAAGAGTCTTAGACTTGAAAAAGACCCAAACTGTAAGATACTTTATGTTAGAGGATTACTTCAGTCTTTGATAAGGACTTTGAATGGACCCTTGGGAAATTATGACTTCTCATTTTTTAGCCTTAGAGAAGGAGAAGACCAGAAAGAGGTAAAGATTGAGCCAGCTCAGGCTGTTGCTGAAGTGGAACCTCTGCCTGAAGACTATTACACACGACCAGTGAACTTAACAGAGGGTAATTTCATACATTCTTCTGTTCCTGCTCTCTTCTCTGGCTGTGTATGACTCCAGCATGCCTCAGGACTTGAGATTCTTAATGGAATCTCTAGTTAAAAGATGTATTGAAAATAAACTGATAAACTCATTTAAAGAACTTGAAAATATCTATCAATACTGTTCATTTGGGATATTGCTTCAGGTAGCATATTTCGTTGCCTGCGTACAAGTCTGATTTTAAAACTGACTGTGAACTAAGCCTGATTTCTGTCTTTCTTGCTAGTGACCACCCTTCAGCAGCGCCTCTTACAGCCTGACTTCCAGCCAGTCTCTGCTTCACAGCTCTATCCTCGACACAAGCACCTTCTGATCAAACGATCCCTGCGCTGTCGGGTAAATGCTCTTTCCTGTAGAGTTGCCATTTGTCCAGGAGAAAAGCAGATAGGGTAGACATGAGTGATATCTGGCCATTGTGGTAAATACAGAAAGCTCAGAGAGCACACCAGATGTTCGGACATTATTTTAAATGGTTTCAGTATAAATTCAATCCTGATGACTCTGAAAGTAGCTACCGTTGTTGTTCCTGCTCTACAAATATGGAGACTGAAGTATCTGAAGATTGAATGCATAACGTAAGCCCATAACAGAAAAGGAGAAGAACGTATGGCTTTTAGGGTATACAAATTAAATAATTTAAGAAAAATCAAGAAAAAAGAAAAACCATAAATTTAACTTCTAGGAATGTACAGAACAAACAATAGTTTCTTGGGTAAATTGTAAAAACAAAATAACAAAATGGAAGGAGGAAGTCTTTTAGATTCCATCCTGTGATGCTGTAGACTCTCTATGATGATGAACTCTACCATGCTTTAATGATGCAGTGTGGTACCCACTGGTTACACGTCACTGCCAAGTGCTTGAAATGTGAAGTTAGTTGAGAAACAGACTCCTAATTCGTTTAAATAACCATATATAGCTAATGTTATCAAATAATGCATCTCAAGATTGAAGTGATTTAAAGATATGCCAGCCAAGCATAATTTCTATACTTAATGAAGATCCTGATCCAGACAAAACATAGATTTAAAACTTGTATATGGGGGCTGGAGAGATGGCTCAACAGTTAAACACATTGCCTGCTTTTCCAAAGGTCCTGAGTTCAATTCACAGCAAACACATGGTGGCTTCCAACCTCTGTAATGAGGTCTAGTACCTTTTTCTGGCCTGCAGGCATATACCTACACAGAATATTGTATAAATAATAAATAAATAAATAATTTTTTTTAAAAAAAAAGCCAAGCAATGGTGGCGCATGCCTTTAATCCCAGCACTAGGGAGGTAGAGGCAGGCAGATCTCTGTGAGTTTGAGGCCAGCCTGGTCTACAAGAACTAGTTCCAGGACAGGCTCCAAAACTACAGAGAAACCCTGTCTTAAAAAACCAAAAATAAATAAATAAATAAAATAAAACTTGTATACAAAAAGAGCCTAGGGAGGCAGGGAAAGGGGAGAAAATAAAAATTTATAAAATCCTAGGAATTTAAACATTAGCAGGATTTCTTTATATTACTGAAGTAGTAGTCTTTTTTAGGGATAATGTTTTTTAATATTCTCATCTTTTTAGATATGCATGCTAAAACATGTATGGATGAATGGCCTAATGTCCAATAGTGATCATAAAAATAACTAAGAGTGTAGAACGAGCATATAGCAAAGCTTATTACCAGGCTTAGATGGTTAGATGTGAAGGCACATACCATGAAGCATGATAACCTTTGATCCCTGGAACCCACAAGGTAGAAGGAGACAAGTGCCCATACTCACACTGATTAATTCATTAAATAAGAAAAAGAATGTCCAACTAAATAAATTGAACAAACACCACAACTCATTTCTATGCTCATTAGAAACAATACAAATACAAGAATTCAGAGAGAGTTAAAGTGCAGCTAGAGCTGGACATGGTGGTACATGCCTATAACCAGCTCCTGGGCATCTGAGGATCTTCACTTCAAGGCCAGCCTGAGCTGGAACAGCCTGGTACAGCAATAATACCCGGTCTCAAAATGCCAAGGGCTCAGGGTAGAACTCAGTGTTAATTTAACAGTGGTTACTTAGTGCACACAAAGTCCTGGGTTTGATTTGCATCAGAAAAGAAGAAGGAACAGTGGAAGTTGTACAAACACTAAGTTTATTTTTCTATTTTTCATTTTCAAGACAGTGTCTTACCATGTATCTCTGACTGTCCTGGAACTCATGAGACCAGGCTGGCCTTAAACTCTCAGAGGTCTGCCTCCTGAGTGTTAGGATTAAAGGCATGTACCAGTGTGCCTGACTGGTCAAACACTGATTTCTTTTTTAAAAGGTATTTTACTTTTTTTTCCTTTCTTTTGTCTTTGGTTTTTTAAGATAAGGTCTCTCTGGAGTCTTAGTTGTCCTGGAACTCGCCATGTAGATCAAATTCACAGAGGTCCGCCTGTGTCTGCCTCCCTAGTGCTGGGATATAAGGGTATACACCACTATGCCCAGCGTCGTATTTCACTTTTACAAAGGCTCAGCTCACAGATGATATAACAGTCAAAATTTATAAGTACCAGATAATAGACTCAAAGTACACAAAGCAATATTTGAGAAAATAAATAGACATATAATTTGGGGCTATTTTGACATATATTTACCTTCTATGAACAACATAACATAACAACAGAACACACATAAGTCAGTAAGGAAAGATTTGAAACCTTTAACTAGCAAACCTGACCAAATAGATGTGTATACAAAACGTTATACCTAACATCTGTACAGTCTAAACAGAACACTCTAAAAATTGACTGTATACTGGATAATAAAGAAAATCTCAGGGACTGAAAGATGCCTCTGCAGTTCAGAACACTTACTGTTCTTGCTGAGGAGTTTTTTCCCAGAGTCCATATTAGGCAGTTCAAAACCACCTGTAATTCCAGCTGCAGAGGATTCAACATCTTCTTCTGGCCTCCAGGGGTACTTGCACTTACCTGCACATATCCAGACACTCCCATAAACATAATTAAAAATTAAATAAAAATAAATTTTAATATCTTTGGAAAATTAAGTTGTTAAAGTGTATGATTTGTTTATAATGTAATTAAGTTTAAATTGGTAATGCTTATATAGCAAAACTTATATGCTATAAGTAAAGCCATCCTTAGATATATAGATGTCTGTGTAGCTATACAGAGTTACAGAAATAGTATTTACACATAAGAGAAGTTAAAGTAATAATATCTTAGCATCTATTTCCAAAAGTTATAAAAATAGCAGCAAAGTAAATTCAGCAAAATAGAAGTAAAAGCAGATATTAACTATATTAAGGAATTAAATAATGCAGAATACAAGGGAAAAATCAAAAGTTGATTCTTTAACAGACATTAATAAAGGTAAATGTTAGTATGTAAATTAATACAGATTTACATAGATGTTGGATATAGAATACACTACTAATACAGTAATAGCTACTCAAAATAAGCAGTTATTTTTTTCTATCAACTTTGCACATTGCATAATATTGATTATTCAAAGTAATATACTTGTATGGTATATATTTTTAAATACAAAAGGCAGAGTAAGTTTGGCAGTGTTGGTGCATGCCTTTAATCCCTTTAATCCACAACAAAGGCAAGTGGATCTCTGTAAGTTCAAGGGCCAGCCTCATCTTCAGAGTGAGTTCCAGGATAGCCAGGGCTGCACGGGAAACCCTGTCTCAAAAAAAAGGAAAGAAAGAAAGGAAGGAAGGAAGGAAGAAAGAAAAGAAAAGACAATTTAAAAAACATTAATGTTTGATAATTATGGCTTACAAATCACTGGGGAAAGACTAGACTATGAGATTTTGCTATGTGGCAGGAAAGCATATAGTTCAGTTGATGGTGCACTTGCCTGATATGCATGGGTTCAGTCCCCAGTACCACAGAAAACTGGATGTGGGCTATGTGCCTATAATTCCAGTATTCATGAATAGAAAGAGAAGGTTCATATAAGTTCAGGGTCATCCTCAGTTACATATCAAATTCAGGTACATGAGACATTATCTCAAAAAAAAAACAACTTTTTTTGACTAGAAAAATTGGAAACATAAAAGGCAAATAGGAGGAGAGAAAATTAGAATTGTTCATATATGATTTCCAAGTAAGGGATGATTTCACAAACAAGGCAAGCAAACAACAAACACTGTACTGTACAGTTGTACTTCTACCACAGTAACAGTAAAACTTGTGCTCATATCCCACAGAAAATCTGTAAACAAGATGCAGAGACTGAGAAGAGTCGTTCATAAGGTGTACGGATAATGAAGGATATCTATCTAAAATGTATACCTGACTCTAGAACACTGCAAGGGGAGGTATAATATAAAGCAAGGCTCGGGGCACATGCCTACGATTCCACTATTCTGTATGCAAAAGCAGAGAGTGGCATATTCTAAGACCCTCTGTCCAAAACCAAACACAGGGTAACCCCGTATAAAAATAGCGAGTGACTGTGGCAGAGAAAATTCCTGTAGTTAGTGAGCGTGAAAGATACTTGAACTTAGGTGGGGATGACAGCAATGTGTATTAAAACTGCTTCAGGATGCCATTTGATAGTCAGCAGATAGCAGAAATTAGCAGCTTGGGAGATCTATCAAAGTAGCAAATTGCTTTCCCATTGATCTACACTTAGGAAATTTTCTTACTCATTTATGCATTGGAAATTGACTCATGTCCAGTATCATTGCTGCTTTACTTATAGTCACGAAGTGATTGAAATATTCTAAATATCTCAGTTGTCTGGTTAAAGTTACAGAAATTATAGTGGAACATTAAATATGAGGTTCCTATGTGTGCTAGGATAAAATTCCAAGATTAATGTAAAATGGAAAGGGTAAGAGAAGGTATAGACTTCGCTTTTGTATTGTGAAAAAAAAAAAAAGGTGATGCCTGTGCACTAATGTGTCTAGCCTGCCCTGTGCAGATTGGCACTGCAAAGAGACACAGGAACACACTGGTAATGTACTCTGTATGACAGAAAAGCTTTGTACTACTTAAACTTTTTGTTTGCTTGTTTGTTTGTTTTGTTTTTTGAGACAGGGTTTCTCTGTAGCTTTGGAGCCAGTTCTGGAACTAGCTCTTGTAGTAGACCCCCCTGCCTCTGCCTCCCATGTGCTAGGCTTAAAGGCATGTGCCACCACCGCCTGGCTTAAACATATTTTTTAGCCAAGTTATATAGGTCTGTAGGTCATTGGATTTATATCTTTGCATTCATACAGATGTCCGAAGTTACATAGGTTATTTCTCCATCTTTTGTTTCATTTTAATCATCTGTAGGAGTGAAAATTAACAACTGTGTACCTTCATCTGATGAAGTCAGTGTAGTGTTTGTCTTAAGTTGTAATGTACATTGTTTACACAGTTTCTAGCACTACAAGCTGTGATATTTGTGATGACCCAAATGTATTCTATAAATTTTGGTTATTAGTACCATAAATTCTGTTATAAAAGTTACAGACTTTGTGCAGGACAAAACATAAAATTCTAATAACTACTTTCTTTCTGCATTTAATGGTTCTGTGAATCTTCAGAGGGTATTCTTTCTCTCTGACATGTACTTTTTCTTTTAGAAATGTGAACACAACTTAAGCAAGCCAGAATTTAATCCAACATCTATCAAATTCAAAATCCAACTGGTTGCTGTGTAAGTATTTTGGGTTGTTGATTGAGGTTTTATGAATCTTTTTCAATGTGGCTTATCTATTTTAAAAAGTCTAAAAAGGAAAAAGAAAAATTACATCAGGAGAGTCTTTCTGTTCCTCTTCTGGTTTTGAATTTAGTTGAACAGCATGAAGTCTCAAGTACATCTGTAAATGTAGAGTCAGGGCTGTGCAGCCCGAAACCGTGGCACGTCCTGGAGTCCCAGCCTCTGGAAAGACAGAAGCAGAACTGTGTTTGTATCAGTGACAGGGTTGTGATGTGGTCTCTGATGATATGGAATTATAAAGTATCTCAGACTTTTTTTAATTAAATATAAATATATAGTATAGAAAACAGAAGAGTACTCTGAAATAACGTTCATTTTACTTTCTGGTTCTGCTAACATTTCACTGAATGAAATAAAGGTGATTAAGTTAGAGTTAACTCACTACTGGTTGTCAGTCGTTGTGTATTGAAAAAAAAGATGATTAGGCAGACATGTTGAGGGAGACAGCAGAATGGCTCCGTGGGTAAAGCACTGCTGGAACAAGCCGACAGCCTGAGCCCAGTCCCTGAGAACTATGCAGAAGTGAAAAGAAAGCCACTCCCTAAGCTCTTCTCTGATCTCCACGCACATAGACACAATAGTAGTTTATTTTTTTAATTTAACTGGGCTTTATGGCACACACCTTTAAGCTCAACACTCAGGAAGCAGAGGCAGGTGGATCTCTGAGTTTGTGGACAAACTGGTCTACAGAGCGTCAGTCAGAACTATCTGATAAGTTTTTTGTTTTGTTTGACATTTTTGAGACAGGGTTCTTTATTAACCAATGGTATTCACAGCATCCAGAAGGGAATCCCACATCAGAAACCAGCTCTTGTAGACCAGGATGGCCTCAAACTCACAGAGATCCACCTGCCTCTGCATTTCAAGTGCTGGGATTAAAGGCGTGCCACCACTGCCCAGCATGGACTAGACATTATTGATGGATTTGTTACCTGTATATATTGTATATAATCATTCTAATTGTTAGTAGAGCATGACACCCTTAATCTCTGGGTCGTGGGTTTAGGCCTCACGTTAAGCACCAAAATGTAGCATGAATAATAAAAACCCAGAGACAGATATTATGGTTCAGCCCGAAGATCAGAAAAGCAAAGCAGCCAAGCCACTAGAGAAATCTTACCTCTACTAAGGCTGGGCAACTGCAAACTAACCACTAAGCCTCTCTTTCCTTACATTTTATATTCCCTCTAGTGCTGGATTAAAGGAGTGACTCCCTAGTACTGGGATTAAAAGTGAGGCACCACCACCTGGATTTGTTTCTGCGTTGATCTTGTGTAGCCCAGGTGGCCTTGAACTCACAGATATTAATCTGCCTCTGTCTCCTAAATCCTGGGATTAAAGGTGTATCACCATTTCCTGACCTCTAGTGGCTTTAGCTTTGCCTCTGGTCTTCAGGGAAGATTTATTTATTAAAATACAAATAATATACCAACCACTACATGACAGAGTTGGAGTGCACACTATGGTAAACACTTGTACAATACTTAGAATATTGCCTGGCACACAGGAAGCACTGTGTGTGTGGTAGGAATGAATTAGTGTTTACAGCCATACAGAATGTTAGTTAATGAGACTGGATCTTATAACAAGCTACCTTAAAAGTGAAATAAATGAGATTTCCTCAAAATAAATTTATAAGGAAAACATATGATGTGATACACACAGCTATAAACCCTAACCAACTCTGTATATATACAGGCTGAAGTCCTAAAATTTCAGACAGAATCATTGCTAGTCTGGTTTTGTGTCTCTTACTGTGGTGTTACAGGTCTTTGATTTTCTCTTAATGTGTTCTAGTTAACATTATTGTTATGCTAGTTCATGTGTGGGTTTTTTTTAAGGTAAATAATAATTTCAAGAGACTTCAGTGAACATTAATACATGTTTTTATTTGTTGGTAGCAATTATATTCCAGAAGTGAGAATCATGTCAATCCCCAACCTTCGCTACATGAAGGTTAGTACTGGATTTATCGACACACAGACTTGATTAGAGTCAGTGGTCTATGCATGTCTGAATATGGGCTGTTGTGTGTGTAGAATGGGATGCCATAGGGAAGGTTCAGGGAAAGAGCAGTTTGAAATGATAAAGACTTAGAGACTTTGTCTCTTTAAACTGTGATTCTTGCTAACAACATGCTGGGTGTGTGAGAAGCGGGTTACACAATCTGTAAAGGTAGAAGAGTGGAAAAAAGAAAGACAGTGATACTGGGTACCATAGGCAACTCTTGTTGCCAGTAGGAGCTTCTCTGTTGTTTCAGATATGTGTGCACAGTACCAAGAGTTGGCTCGGTTCTTCTGTACAATAGCCCTGTTCTTCCATGGGGTTGTCTTCTGTGCACTGATGAATGATTGACTGTTCTGCAGTGGCCACTTTGACTCTTTGCCTTCAGACTGCTCATGGAAAGTTACAGAACCCCTTTATTTTACCAATCTCAAGTAGTAAATGGCCATATTATCAGGTTTTAGGAATCTTAAAAAAGATTTTATAGTTTTAATATGTTGTTTTCCTTCTGCCCTTGATACTATTTCTGAGTAGCCTATGACTACAATGTTTTATTTTGGTGTTTTTGTTTTTGTTTTTTGTTTTTTTCCTTTTCATTCCCTAAGCAACAATTAGAGGGACAAGAACTGCAAACTTTAAAATAATCATTTAGATAATAAACCTTTCTCAGAGTTTCTAGGCCTAGTAACTAGAATATGCTGAGCTTCTTTACTGGATAGCCATTCCAGAAGGTATGTTGCTAACACAGAAATAGAAAGATCAGTAACCATTCTTAGGATGCTCTGGTGTAGGGGAACAAGAGGTCTGGTTGCTCCAGAGAAAAGGGAGTGATGGTGTGAATCAATTTTTGTAACACCTAAGAAAGTGGGCCGTAGCGGGAGTATGGCACCTGTCTGAAAGATGCTTTTCTTATTCCCCAGGAGAGCCAGGTCCTCCTCACTCTTACAAATCCAGTAGAGAACCTCACCCATGTGACTCTGTTGGAGTGTGACGAAGGGGACCCTGATAATATCAACAGCACTGCTAAGGTAAGGGCATTTGTCTCCTCGGACAGACCCTGACATTGCCTCAGTGGCTCCATTGTCCATGGCTTAAAATAATCCACACTCTCATTTCTATGTGTGATCCAGTGTCCTGATTTTATCTTGTCCTCAAACACACAGTCACTCTCTGTCGAGTCTCATTATTCTCACTTGGTCTCAGCCAGAATCTTACTGCCTGACCTCATTCTCTTTAGTACTTCAGTCCTTCAACTTCATCTCAGCCCATCACCTGTGTGCCACCAGACCCTTTGTCCTGCATCAGCTGCTCAGCCTGCTGATCATGTGCAGCTCTCTGACTTGAGGATGAAGTCCAACTTTTTTAGCACAGCTTCTTGGTGATGACTGCTTCCTGTTCTTCAGTGTGACCTTCCTTCAGTGTGACCTTCCTTCAGTGTGACCTTCCTTCAGTGTGACCTTCCTTCAGAGCCTCAAATTTAGCATTTGCAGGTGCTGCTACAGGGATGGCTGCACTGATGGGTGTAAATGTTCCTGCTGGGGAGTTCCTCCTTCCTGCTCTGTCTCCCCAGTGTACGCACTCTCCCCATTCAGTTTAGTACTCATTCTTGAGGACTCATGAGATGTTGTCTCCTTTGGAAATTGGCATCTCTCCTACGTTCCCACACTTACATAGAGCACAATAGCAGTGACTAAATATTAGGATAATTTTGACCGAATAAATGAAATGCAGCTTTTTTATATTTTGCTGCTCAGAGGTTGATGGGATTCTTTTAGTTTTGCATATATGTATGTATTTGTATGTCTGTACGCTGTGTATACGTGGGCACATGCTTTGAGGTTAGAGTCAGTTCTCTGCTCTACCACGTAGGTCCAGAGGAACTAACTCGGGTTGCTGGCCTTGGTGCAAGCACTTTGACCCACTGAGGTATCCCACCAGTTAAGTTGATGGAAATTTTAAGAGAATTTGATGTAGTACCAACTCATAATTCAGTGTGATACTCAGCAAGTATTTATAGAAGGAATGCCTGTACCTCCAGTTGTTATTCAAAGAGTGTCAGTAGAGAATTTCCTGGTGGGTTTTTCTTCTGCTTTTTAATGATTTCATTCACTAGCATCACCTCCAGAAAGCAATGACATTTGTCCTCACATTTGTTTTTAAGATTAACAATAATAAGTAGGTCTAGTTGAGCAAAAAACATAAAAGTCTGGAGTGTGGTCTCTGGTCTCTGAGATAACAAGGTATGGACCAGTTATGATATAAGAATCTAACCTGTGTTCCACAAGCATAAATATAAATACACCCAGGGTTCAGTGTCAGAAAGTCTTGTGTTTTTAGGAGGGAAAAGAGTAAATTGTTTCAAATATGCCAGGACTTATCTTAAAAATAATAGAACAAAGGGCATATGCATTCCCCTTTTGTAGTAACACATTAAAATAAGAAAGGGGGCTGGAGAGATGGCTCAGCAGTTAAGAGCACTGGCTGCTCTTCCAAAGGTCCTGAGTTCAATTTCCCAGCAACCACATGGTGGCTCACAACCATCTATACTAGGATCTGGTGCCCTCTTCTGGCCTGCAGGCATACATGTATATATAATAAGTTAAAAAGAAGAAGAAGAGAAAAGATGCAGTGCAGCCCTGTGTCAGAGCCTGGTTGAATTCCGTAACTGGAACAACAAAGTCTTCACAGAACAATCTAATCTTTGCCTGGCAGTCGGAGGATACAGTCATGATGCCCGGCCTCAAGTCAGTTGGTCACAGCATTTTTTGGCATCTGTAGTAAAGGAGCGGGAGATGAAATAAAACCACCCTCAGTCTACAGAATGATGCTACCCACAGTTAGGGGAGGTCTTCACCCTACTGAGCCCACTGTAGAAATTCATCCACAGCCATGCCAATGGGTTGTCTTCCAGGTAAGCAGTAGCTATCTCAGCCCCTGTGAAACCAGTGCTCACTTGACTTGTTCTTCATCCTCACGCTCAGCTTCCTCAGCAGTGTTTTAGGGCTGTCGGGAGTATAACTGTGTCCAGAAACGTGATGCTCGCCTCTGTCTGGATGGTGCTGCTGCAGTCCGTCTCTTTTGTTCTCAGGTGGTGGTGCCTCCCAAAGAGCTCGTTTTAGCTGGCAAGGATGCAGCAGCTGAGTATGATGAACTGGCAGAGCCCCAGGACTTTCAGGATGACCCTGAGTAAGTGATCTTTCTGTGGTCCTCAGACCACAGTCAGCTGATCCAGAAGCCTGGATTCGTCCTTTTTGTGTTGCTGTGACCAGATGTGTGACAGGAGCAACTTAGGAAGAAAAGGTTATTTAGCTCTAATTTCAGAGAGAATTTTAGTCTATGTGGCAGGAGAGGCTTCTACAGTGGGTGCATGAGGTGAGGCCACAAGCTAGTCACGTGTTGCAGAGAACGCTCAAAACAACTGGACTGGAAATGGGAGAATAACCTTCAATATGTGCCTTTATTCCTTCAGGTAGGCCCCACCACCATCCAGTTCCATGGCCTCCAAAATAGCACCACGTGCTAGGAACTGAACATTGAAGACATGAGCTTCTGTGAGCTATTTCAGAGTCAGACCTTAAGGATGCACACTTAGGTGTTTGTTTCTTTGCCTGGGTTTTAAAACTAATTTTTCCCTATTATGAATTATGAAATAATTACTAAAAAAAAGGCTGGAGTAATGACTCAGCAGTTAAGAACTTCCTTTGTTCTTTCAGAGGACCCAGGTTCAATTCCTAGAACCCAAATGGTAGATCACAACCTCTGTAACTCCAGTTCCAAGGGATTAAATGCCCTTTTCTGGCCTCTGCAGGCACCAGACATATACATGATACACAGACTTTTTTTTTTTTTTTTTTTTAAAGAAAAGGACTGGAAAGCGCCCGCGGGTCTCGAACCAACCACGTGGTTGGTTGTGGCGCCTGGACACGACCAAGAATGGTAGTTATCAAGCTGAAGCACTGTCGAAGTAACCGCTGCGCTACAGCCAGTCCCGATACACAGACTTATAAGCAGGCAAAACACCTATACACGTTAAATAAATAAAAATTTTTAAAGCAAAGTATAAATAGCTCAGCTTTTTCTAAAACTCTTCTTTGCTGGGCAGTGGGATGGATTTTAGTCACAGCAGAGATTCCCATTGTTCCATGAAATGACTAGGAGACTTGATATTGATTCAGTTACTCCTCATCTTAATACTGTGCTTTTCTTCCCATAGCATTGTAGCTTTCAGAAAAGCCAACAAAGTGGGCATCTTCATCAAAGTCACCCCACAGCGTGAGGAAGGTGAAGTGACCGTGTGCTTCAAGATGAAACATGATTTTAAAAACCTGGCTGCCCCCATCCGCCCAATGGAAGAAAGTGACCAGGGCACAGAGGTCATCTGGCTCACTCAGCATGTGGAACTGAGCTTTGGCCCTCTTCTTCCTTAAAACACAGTCACCTGGTGGGTGATGCCGCCCACAGCTGTCACCACAACTCTGTAACAGTGTGGAAGCTGCTGCTTCATTAGACGTGTTTATAAAGATGTACCCATCACTACTGAATCCTGTTCCTAGGAGTGGAGGCCAGACCAGGATACGGAGCACGGGGTAACTGCTGTTCACTTGCTCTCTCTGTTGACTCCTGTCAGTCTGTGTCACCCACATGTGCCCTGCACGTTGAGTAACAGCCTAACTCCATCCCAGTAAAATGGGTCTTCCTCGGAGGGTCATTAGATTTACTCCCTGAGAAATGGGCCATGAACCTGTCACAGTTTAACCCTAAAAACTTAGAATGGTAATCCAGAGCAGACCTGCTGTTCGTGCCCCAGCACTGGTCTCAGTGTTCCAGCTGCTTTCTGCATTCCAGTAAGGATAACTAGTAATTATAACCATTCAGTTGCCATGGCTCTCACTTTGCCATTGATTTCCATTTGACAGAGAAGTAGGGTTGTCACGGTGTCTAACTTTGTGATGACAGGGCGTGATTTCCTTAAGGCGCTCCATTTGTCTCTTGTAAAGGACTACAGTATACCTACAGTGGAAGCGATACCTGTCATGAAGTCCCATGTGTTTTACCATTACACTATCCAGGGGCTAATGCTGCCACAGGGAAACAGCCTTTATAGTCTTGCCCTCTGCCCTTCTCTACTCTGGTTTTGTTTTTCAGAGTTTTTTATTTGTTTCTTTTTTTTTTCTTTTCCATTTATTTTTTCACATAGGCTCCCTCCCCGTAACTCTGGCCTGTAACTCCATCAGTATACCAAGCTAGCCTTGAACTCACCTGCTGTGATTAAAAACACTTGACTATCACGCCCAGCTCTCTGCTCTGTTCTATAATTCAAGGAATTGTCCTAATGTTGAGGGCATTAAAAAGAGAGCTGAGACAGTTTTAAGTGGACATACTCATTTCTGAGATTCAGAGAACATTTTCAATTTTGGATTTTTAGCATGATACAAACTAATGGTTTTTTCCACTGAGTTGAAGGAGAAATTAACTATCTCTTATATCCAAAACTGGATGTTAAAAGGAACCTTTCCTTTTGTGGGTATAAGACTTCTCCTGCTGTATCAAGTGAGAATATTTAATTGTAAGCAAGTAGCCAGAAGGCTGGCCTGACCCTAGACAAGCCATTTCCTCAAATACCAATGTTGAGTTGCAAACCTTAATTGCTGTGATGTTTTTCTAAAAGAAATCGACAGAGTAGACCAGCTGCACCACTTTTCCTTAAAGTATTCGTAGCGCATGGCCAACAGACCTTGGAAGAAAAAGTTCCTGCTTACAAACCTTGCTTTGGTTTTCATTTTATGTCTTTAGGAGTTTTTGTTTGGTTTTATTTTAAGGTACAGAGAATCTGGATGACAGATAGGAAATAGTATTTGTCAGTTCCCCTTAAAAGAGGAAACTATTTAGGAAGCTGTTGAAAGAGAGACTATGTTCTTTACAATCAAGCCAATTTTATGAAATATTCCCACATAGTAATATATTTACTACAGTATAAGAAGAAAATGTTGATCTAATATGGGAACAGTAACTAATGTTTAAACTCCTAGATGCTGGAGCAGGGAGTTGGGTAATAACAAGTTTCAAACTACAGAAAATTATTTCCTATAACTTCATGAAGGCTCAAGTTAGATCCTTCTGTGAAACTACTACTCAATGTCTGCTTGGGGTCAGGGGGATGGCTTCATAAGTTCACACATTGTGGAGGCAGGCACAGTTGTCTGCATGCCTTTATGCAGCGAAACTGATACTTAGTCCCTAGAAAAAATGTTGATATAATGGGTCTACTCCTGTGATAGAGAAACACAAAACACTTTTGAATATACAATTTCTGGTTAAGAAGTCCAGTTAACTATAGATAACGGCTGTCGGCTGTTTCAAGATGAGTTATTGTGAGCCTTGTGTTCCTGGGAAAGGGTCAACACCTGCAGTTGGTGAATTCGGAGTTGCGTCTATCACCCTTCTGGTATTAGATCAGGTGCAGGGTTCTTATTACTACTCAGTGTGCACCAGGACACAAGAGTCAGGCATCCTTAGCACTTGAAACTACAATTTGGAAACTTAAGGCTAAGTTACTTTTGAGTTTGTAAATTGATTTACACACCAAAATTTTCCTTTGTTCCAAGTATATGTAAAGGCATACTGCACTAAATGCCATTGCGTCTTTGTAATAAGCATCTTTGTTGGCCCCTTTTGGGGATGAGAGGCACTCCTTGACTTATGACAGGTCACTGTTCTGCCTTATTGCTTAATGTAGTGAAATAAATCAGACAAAGCTTGAGTGTGTCTTCTGTTTGATTTCACAAATGCTGGTTAGAACCTGCGCAACTCAGGACCTCAAGGTCAGTTGGTAGGTAAGACTCAGTGGTAGACACCCTTCCATGTCTCTCTCGTCTTTATTTTTATTTGGTAGGACATAGGCCAGAAGAGGACAGCAGGTCATCTGGAGCTGGAATTCCAGGTGGTTCTGAGTCGCCTGCTGGGAACTGAACTCTCCTCAGCAAGTGCTCTCTCATGCCCCTCCCTTCATTTCTTTATGTAAATTAACTTGACCGAGTAATTCACCAAGCCCTGGTTAGTGGTGGCTCATGCCTTTATTGCCAGTGGTGCTAGGGAGGCAGAGACAGGAGGATCTCTTGTGAGTTCAAGGCCAGCCTAATCTAAATTAATGAATTCTAGCACTCTGTATACAAAGACCCTGTCTCAAAAAGAAAGAAAGAGAGAGAGAGAAAGGAAAGGAAAGGAAAGGAAAGGAAAGGAAAGGAAAGGAAAGGAAAGGAAAGGAAAGGAAAAGAAAGGAAGGGGGGAGAGAGAGAGAGAGACTAGAAAAGAAAAGAGTAATTCTCTGGTACAGGTGGATGTTGCTTGAACTTCTGTACATGTTTTCAGATGCACCATTTTCAGTGCATTTCTCTATTGACCCGGAACATATGATGTGAACGAATCCCTCGTGCTTAAGAGGTGAGTGAACATGGATTCCTTCATGGGGAGCTCTTTCTAGCCTCAGCATCCTCCCACCCACTCCTGACTGGGCCTTTGCCCTACTAGTGTCCTGCTGGCCCCTTCAGGGACCCCGTTTGTTGGGTCCTGCCCCAACAGCAGCTTGGAAAACCAAGGACCTGGAAGCTGAAGTATTGTTAAAGGAGATCCAGGTGACATCTTTTGAACACAGAGAAAGTTAAATGAGATCCAGGTGTACTTTGGTGTTTCCAAATCACTGTTCATCACTGAAGGAAACTAGGGTAGGAACTCCAAACAGCAGGAACCTTAAGGCAGGATTGATGCAGAGGCTAAGGAGGAGTGCTACTTACTGGCTTGTTCCCCATGGCTTGCTCAACCTGTGCTCTTACAGAGCCCAGGACCACCAACCCAGCACAGAAAACTGTATACATCATCATCATCATAAAGTGTTTAATTGGACCTAGAGTTCCAGTGGGTTAGAGTCCATGATGGTGGAGCAAAGGCCTAGTAGCAGGAACACAGCCAAGAGCTCATATCTCAGAATGCAAGAGAGAAGCAGAAAGTTTAGAAAGAGGAAACTTTTGAAGCCTCAAATCCTGTCCCTTCCCCCATGACACACCTCCTCCAATAAGGCCATGCCTCCTGATCATTCCCAAATAGTTCAACCAACTGGAGGCCAAGTATTGAAACATGAACTTATGGAAGCCATTCTCAGTCAAACCACCACACACAGCAGATATGGATAGGAGTGAGGAAAGCAACCAAAATATTAAGGGATTGCTAAAGGTCAAAAAGAGCTAATATGATAGCGTGTAACCCTGTAATCCTACGTAAGACTCGAAGAGAACTAACTTTTTTTTGCACTCACATGTTCTAAAACCTCCAGAGGTGGGAAGTTTGAGAGCATTGCTTGGTTTAGGGGAATATAACAGGCTTGCTATAGGGGAGGCATAAGACTTTGCCTCCTTCCCCCAGCTCTCATAAAGGAACAGAAAGCCTGAGCCACTTAGAAAAGAAGGGCTGGAAAGATGGCTCAGAAGTTAAGAGAACTGACTGCTGTTCCAGAGGCCCTGAGTTCAATTCCCAGCAACCACATAATGGCTCATACACCCATCTATAATGAGATCTGGTACCCAGAACACTATATACATAATAAATAAATTTTAAAAAAAAGAAAAATGAAAAGAATAATCTGTCTCCCCAGATAAAGGCACACTGCTGCTGAAGCAAGGTATAAATAAATACATTAAGTCCCTGGAAAGACAAGACTCGGTTCTGAGACAACTCTACACCAACACCCTCTGTTCACCGCTGCAGGAAGGGCAGAGACGTCCTCCTGCTTTAGGAAAGGAGATGATGTAGGTTCAATAGAAATAAGTCAAAGTGAGATGCGTAAAGCCAAATAGTACCAACATGGAAGCTAAACACAAATGATGTCAGCACCAAATGAAGGAACTGTGTCCTGGATAATTATCATCTTCACTAGACTCAGACTAGCTACTTTGCAATCTTTGGTGGTTTTCCACATTGAAGAAATGTCTATCTTGGTTGACAGTAAGTTTTAATTATTTTTTTAACTTCTAGGGAATAAGAGTAGTAAATATTCAGAAACAGTTCGCTAAGGTGAAATAAAATATAAAGGAAGGAAGGAAGGAATAAGAAGAGGAGGATACTTAAAAAGGGTTTCTAAGACTCAGGCACAAAGCCTACTAAACACAAACTGAATTGTAACAACAGAGACAGAACTCCTTTATCTCTGTACTATCAATCTAGCAAACAGGAACATGCTTCAGTTTCTGGAAGCTTGGCAAAGGTACAAAAGGACATGTCTACTGTGCAGACGTGCAGGACAGCTATAAGCTTAAGGATGAAGAATGGGCATTTGAGACACCTAAAGAACAATGATAGAGGATAGGAAAGCCATGACACACTGAAGGGAACCATCAAAACCATCCAGATCCAGTTCAGTTGACTAGATCATTCAAATGCCACACAATGGGGCTCAACAGGATATAATCCGTCCTAAACCCAAGAGCACCTGTATAGGGAGAGAACATATATCAGCCATTAGTGTAGGCTGTATGCGGGGCCGAGCTGACCACCTACAAGCACATCAAAACTTTGGGATGATAAAACTATATGGTGAATGTATGTAAGAAAAATAATAACTATACAAGAAAATCTTTGAACAGTTTGGTGGTTGATTAGGTCAAATATTAAAATGATCAGGCCTGATTGCACAGACCTATAATCCCAGCTACGTGGGAGATTGAGAAAAGAATATTACAAATTCAGACAGGGCCTTCCTGGGCTACAGAGGTAGTTCAAGTTCAACCCAGAGATAAATAAAAATATAGAAAGGGATATTATAGTGTATGTCTTTAATCTCAGCACTCGGGAGGCAAAGGAAGGTGGATCTGTAGTTCCAGGCCAGCCTAGTCTACATTGTGAGTTCAAAACTACATAGTGTGACTGTCTCAAAATATTCGTAGAATGGTTAGGAGTTTAAAAACTCGATGGGCTGGAGAGATGGCTCAGTGGTTAAGAGCACTGACTGCTCTTCCAAAGGTCCTGAGTTCAATTCCCAGCAACCACATGGTGGCTCACAACCATCTGTAATGAGGTCTGGTGCCCTCTTCTGGCCTGTAGACATACACGCAGAAAGAATATTGTATATATAATAAATAAATAAATATTTAAAAAAAATAAAAAAAATAAAAACTCGAAAGCTCTGACTTGCACGACCTTTTCACGTCAGAAGTTAGAAAAACCACCACCCCCGAAAAAAAAAAAAGGTTAATTCATCTTAACCTCAATTAAGAATTAATTGAGAATTAATTAATTGAGAACCTCAATTAAGAATCCACATCCTATCCTACCATAAAGGTAGGGTGGCAACATATGATAAAGGATAGCTAGTTAAATGTGATTTCCTAATAGTGACCCCGCTTCTGTCATAAAGAATGCCTCTGCCAACACCTCCGCCGAAGGGATACGTTGTCTTCTACTAGACGTTTTGTACTTTTGTGTGCTAAATATAACAACGGAAGAGTTACTGGGAACATGAGAGACGCAGGCATGAGCGTCTGGCTGCGACTAACCGCCTTTCGACCCCAGCCTGGGCTGGCGGTTCTCAAACTGTTCCTCCATCCTTCGCATCAAGGATGCGCGCACGGCAGCTGGGCGGAAGTTCTGACGCGCAGCCCCGCCCCGCGGCCGCCCTAGGCGCGTAGATTAGACGTAGCGCGGCGCCCGCCCGGAGCCTGTCGGGATTGTGGCGGTCGGTCTCCCGAATCGGAAGCCGGCGCTGCCTCGGGACTCCCGATATGGCGACCTCTCTGGGTTCCAACACCTACAACAGGCAAAACTGGGAGGACGCGGTGAGTGCGCGCCGAAGAAAGACGCTGGGACAGCGAGGCCGGGCGGGATGGGAAGCCATGTATCGGGCTGCGGCGGGATCGGCCGGAGCCGCGCTGAGGCCTAGCTCGGCGGGGCAGCCGGAGGAGAGCCCTCGTGCGGCGGACCAGGGTCCTGGGACAAGCGCTGTCCTCCCGGAGACTCCAGACTTCCCAGAGGCTTTCATTTTTTCCGCTTGCCGGAAGTGCAGACAGCGCCCCTTCCCGCCCCGCGGTCAGTGCCGGAGCTGGGGCTCCGGCCAACCTTGCACCCTTCCCCGCCCCAGAAAGTGACTGAGGGAACAGGGTCTTGGGGACTTGATCTTCAATCAGATTTCCCATTTTCTTTAGGACTTCCCCATACTGTGTCAGACGTGTCTTGGAGAAAACCCTTATATTCGAATGGTGAGTGCTTGCCTGTGCCGCGGGAGTTCACTGTACATTATATTGCCCTTGCACGCTCATGGTAAAGTGTTTCTCTTGGCCGTTAGAAGGATTGATGATCTTTTACTAGCAGGACAACTTGCAAAGTAATGCCATGCGTGCTTCCTTTCCTAGACACTGAGCAATAGTCCTATAATGTAGGAGCCCTAACATAACAGCTAATACTTGTTGAGCATCTTCATAGAAAGTAGATCCGCTGATGGGAGAGTGGCTTTATGTGGCTCTACTCCCTGACTCCCAGTCACTGTGCCATTCAGCCACTGCAGCTTGTAGTCTTTCTAGTTTAAGATACACCTGTCCTTTTCGTTTGTTTGTTTGTTTGTTTATTTGTTTCGAGACAAGGTTTCTCTGTAGCTTTGGTGCCTATCCTGAACTAGCTCTTGTAGACCAGGCTGTCTCGTCTCGAACTCCCAGAGATCCGCCTGCCTCTGCCTTCCGAGTGCTGGGAGTGCTGGAATTAAAAGCCTGTGCCACCACCGCC